TTGTGAACAATTGATGAGTGTTCCAGGAGAGGCTTTTGATCTGTAGGGTTCAAAGTCTGTCTAAGCTTACACACATACTCTTCCCATGGGGGGTGGGTGCGGGTGGATTTGTATTGGTGCTAGAACTGGCTTAAATAATTTTTCTTCCATCACTTCCAATGGAAGGGAAATAACTAAAAAGAGAATACCTGGTAAAATAGTGACAAAAGAAGGCATCAAATCTTTCTTTCTGCCCTATTGACAAGATTTAAAAGTCCTGGAGACTCTAACACTTAAACTCAACCCAGTGGCCTATAACATTGCTCTATAAGTTATTGCTTTAAAAAAAAATCAACAAAAATCCAGGAACAAATAAAAACAGTTTCCAAAAATAACTGTAGATTTATCACATTTGATCACTACTATTATCATTACTGTTTTGTAAAACTTAAGGGCAAAAGCATTTAAGAAAATTACCTACTTTATTGGAAACAGCCTAATATGCAGAATAAAAATGTACTGGATTTTGGACTTCTTATGTGTGGCCCTTAAATATACGAGGTTTTAAAATTGTGTGGTAGTTACATTTATGAGGTAATGTCTCAAAAGCTGTGGAGGCTAAGCCAAAAATTAATTTCATTTGATTTCATTTATATTAAATTGAAACTAAATATAATTTATCTAATTTCTGTCTGGTCATGTCTGTTAATATTTTTCTCCTTTTCTCACATTAAACCATTACAATTGGGTTACATATTTCGAAAGTCTCCGAGGGCCTTATCCAATGTTTCTGAAGGCTGCATGTAGTCCTGGAGCCTCAGCCACGTTCACTTCTGGTTTATGACTTATTTTACAAACCATAGTTAAAGAAATTATGACTTAATACAATTTGTGAGCATTTGTGTTAGTCAAAGTATGTCCCACTAGCTCATTTTCATTTTCTATCCATCACTCTTTTGCCCTAAAATACTTGTTAATGTAATATCTCAGATTCTCTAATCTAGCCTGCCCAGCACAGATTGTCCTATTCATGTTAATGCCTGTAACCACCCACATCAAAGCCACTTAAATCTGACAATCTACTGGGAGATAAACCAGTTTGGGTGCAATCTGATCCAAACAGTTCCCAGAGTGCTCTGCATGAACTATTATTAAGATGTGATTGCCAGACACCAGCAGTCTGCACCAAACTAACTTCTTTTTATCTTGTAATTTCTTGCTATTTTACCATCTCCTCATCTGAAGCAATCAGCAGCTTCTGATGACTGAGAGGATTTGCATTTTATCGGTAGTACATGCAAGTCAAACACCCTTCCTTTGGACTTTCCTATAACGTAATAAAATTTAAGTTACCCTGAACATAAAAAAAATTGTAATAATAGAGTTGAATGTCATCTGGTCAGTAAACTTTCAGATCCGTATCTCATGAGATCAGAATACTAAAAAGCAGTTTAAAAACAGTTCACTGTTTGATTGCAAAGCCTTCAGAGTAATCACGGAGTCTACTTGACTAGCCAAAGTACCTCCTGCCTGAAACAAGATCTCCTGCCTTCTCTGTTTATAAGCTGATCAAGCTGCAGGTAGTTTAGCCAGTTCTTTCTTAGCCAACATCTCTAGCTGATCTGAGTGCCTTTGAGAAAGAGAAACAAAGCAGAAAGCCCACAAAAGCATATGTCCATAAAAAAAGCAAGCTTCGAGCCTTTGGATAGGAATCTGTTGCTTGCTGTTGCTAGGAGACAACCACAGCAACTTAGAAACTCTCTAGCGGCCAAAGTGAATGACAATCTAAATGCTTCCTAGTGGCAACCTTGTGTTCCCTAAGACTTTGAAAACTTGGCTTTGCTCCCGGGCCTGGGGGTAGCGTGATTGCTGAGCCCCTGTCGGTTTTGGGAGGTATTGTGTTGTTCCGTTATGTTTTTTTCGTTTTGGGGGCTCTATGTTGTGTTATTATTTTTCTTTTGTTTTTCATGACTGTGACTTTTAATACAGTATGTAAGCCGCCCAGAAACATTTGGAGTCGGGCCGCCTCTAAATCTAACAAAGTAAGTAAGTAAATCTAGACACCCTCTAGTGGTCAGATTGAATAGCAATGTATTTGGGAATTGCTGCAAGTTAAATTCAACCAGAATGATGTGGGTCACTGTTGATGAGCAAGTTAGTGAAATTCCATCTCTCACAAGCTTTACAGCAGTGAAACCCAAAAGACAGACTATGCTGATCTCCCAGGCCAGGAAAAAACAAGAATTAAAAAAAGCTCCATGCTCAAACAAGTCTGGGGGAGCCCAAGAAAAGAAGAAGAAAAATAGGAAGTAGAGAATGCTACAAATCCAGGACAGCTTTCCAAGGCTGAGCTCAATGTGAGCATCACTGAGAATCCAGGAGCGTGGCAGTGCAAAAGATCCATATGGAATTGAGCATGCATGGACAAGAAATGTGAACAATTTGAAAGGTGCACAGGCAGTATGCTGTAATCAGCAAAGCAATGCTTAGGGATCCCAGATGTGCAAGCATCATAGTACATGAGCACCATCCCACAAGTTCTCAAAATAATTCCACATTTCCAGGAAAGAAGATTGACAGATAGATCTTTTCTCTCTTCCCATGCCTCAAGATCATCAGATTCTCAAGCACCTTGTAGGCACACCTGCCACTCTGGGAAGTCCACATGCCCAAGTAATACTGCATTAATCACTGCTGCTGTCCAAAAGAGAGCAGAGGCACCATCTAATCACAAATGCGCTGAGTACAACCAAAGGAAAGTCTTCCTAGAATTGGGAGCAGCACAACTAGAGTCAGAAGCAGTTGAGGCACAAGCACAGATGGAATGAAAAGCAGCTAAAATGAAGGCACATCTAGCAGCATGGAAAGAAAGGAAAGAAGCTGCCCAAACTGCAGTGAGAGCTGAAACGCTCAAGAGCACTGCACCAGCTGGTAGAACTGAACCTTACTCAGATGTAACAGAATAGGTGTTATTGCACTGTGATTTTACACTCATAGATAACTTTTATGCCCTTGATGAGAATATCCCTGCCCCCTGTCCTGAGGCTAGAAGCCTGCCCAACACTTCTGAGATACAGCATTACATAGTCTTGTAATAGAAACCAAGGACATTGCCATATCTTGAGGAAATCTGCAAATGAGTTTGGCCACAACGTGCCTTGGTGAAAATCCCACCTAATGACTCCTGAGCCACATAAAGGGCCTTATAAATCCTGTCAAAGGTTTCAACTCAAACAAAACAAAAAGACTACACAAGTGCACCAATAACTAGAACAAGACAGCATAGGAATGTACAATATTTGGCAGCACCTTAATAGCCCCAACATTACCCTCAGCACCAAAGTTTGACCTTAGCTGGATCGCTGCATGCTTACAAAACAAGGGTGCTAGAGAATGACTAGAATTCCTATTCCAAATCACATAACAATAATCACAAAGTGAAGGTAGACCACACCAAACATTCATCAACTAGCATACAGTGGACTAGTACATTCCCACAACCTATCTAAGGAGTGACATGACTCATTCACTGCACATGATCCACTGGAAAACACTTACAGAAAATGTTGCTGGCATAATCACCCATCTCCAAATCTACTATATTGGAGCAGCAACTCTAGGCAGAGGAGGCCATCTTATGCAGTACACAGCAAGATGTTTGCCCAGTGCAGATCAAGTATGACAAGAAAGGGAAGAACAATTCTCACAACAGTGCTGAGATGAAGCAAACTTCTCACCTTGAAAAAAATAGGTTCCTTCCAAGTGAACAACTGGCTAAACCAAGGTCAAGGTTTTAAGACAAACCAAAAAAACTTTCATTAGAGTGATCACTTAAGTGTGCCTCTTCTACCAGTGAAGAAGCCTGACACCTTGACCTGCACAGCCAAATTTTCATGTTAGATATTAGTAACATATATTATTCATGTAAATGTTGATCACCACACATGCACAGTTACATGCAAAATTTAAGCATTCCTAATCAAATTGGATGTTTCAATGAATTCCTAAGTGAACAGAAGCTGATATATACTCTGAACAGCCTTAGGTTTCCAGACCTTACCTTGACTACAACAGTTCTATGTAATTTCAATTACTTAACAGCATTTTTTTTTCCAGTTAAAATTGCTAGCTGGATTAGAAATTCTTTTACAGCCTTTCTCTACTTTGTAAAAGTGAACTGTCTTCAAATGCTCATAGAGCTACTACAAGGAACCCACAGTTGTTGAAATACAGACAGAACAACAATCACAACCAGAGGGGTTAGAAGGTCAGAGTATTTATTCATCTGTGGTATTGCTTTCACCTGGCTATCTATAGGAATAAAGAGTCAGTTATGTTTTGGGGCTTTACTGACAACTTCACAATTAAAACAAAGTAGCAGTGAATAAACTAGAAGGGTGTTCAAACTTCTGTGCCTGCCGTGTTCACTGTTTTCTTATTCTGAATTTATAAATAACTGCATATAAATAGTAGGTATGCATTCAGATCTGCAGAATTATGTAACGTTTAACATTGTATGATGTAGAAATGGTGTCAGTTTCTGTTCTCTTAGGGATTCAGTGAAACACTTTAATCAGGAATGCCTAAACTGCTCTATTAAATTTTAGGTAGTAAAAGCATGTAACTGATGGAATTCTTTGAATTTCAGGTCGGGAATGATCTCATGATCTCAGAATAATCACCAAGCCAGAAAAGCTCTTGAATGTAACTACATAGTGAGGTGAATGCCAACTGGTGAGATGAACACCTACAGACTTAAGCAAATAACACTAATTATTTATCTTCTACTTTTTCTTATTTAAAGTTATATAAATGATGAAAGTACATACCCTATACATTTTTAACCACATGTGTCAAACCATTCATAAAAAAACTTTACAGGGAAAACAGTATGAAATTCAGACAAGGGCAATTTGCCTCAAAATCTGTCTGGGGCCTTCTGTGAATCGTGGGCCTCTGGGTGTCACGTCAATAGCACCATATTCCAGAATTCTAAAGCCGCATCACTTTTTCCCCCTCACCTTTGGCCATTTTATTGAGAACCATGTCAATCAGGATGTAGGTTCCAGTTCTTCCTGCACCATTGCTATAGACAAGGAGAAAAAAAATCCAATCAGTTCAATGTGCATAAAATCCTAACAAAAGCATAATTTATCTTGATGTGAGGTAAACATACGTGGGGGACTAAGCTGAGGCAGAGGAGCACATCATACAGTTAGGTAACAGTGACAGAAAAAGAAAGCTTAAAAAAAATGAATTATCTGATTAGTTGGTTTGCATGCATATGAACACGACAGCTTTGAATGAAGAATCTACTTCTCTAAAGACAAAACTCTATTTATTTGAGAATAATGTCATTTAATATTTTTAAACAATAACAACACAAATAATTCTAGAAACCTGTATCCATATGAAAAGCTGTTCAACCTGGCCTGTTAGGAAAAACCAAAAAGAGCAAAAAGCATTTCCCCCAAACATAGCTCTCTCTGAATTTCCAGGAACGTCCCTGGCTCTGCAGGCTGACCTGCTTCTCTTCCTGCTGTGAAAAACCTTTTGTTATTTAAAGGACATATTATTCTTTATGAAGAAATTGGATACTAGCCACCTGAGCCTGGGAAAAAAGATACAGCCAACTACTTTTTTCCTTTCATCTCTAAAGAAAAACTGTTGCAATTAAAGAAAGCAGCCATGCATATTCTGCAAGTTAGTTTTAACCTGCTCAGGGCATTACTACTCAGAAATGAAAACAAAAATGGAGATTTGTGATACAGCAGCATAAAGATGTCAAGATTCTTAATCTGAATGCAGTTTTCATTGCCTTCAAGGCCAGCTTTTATGCTTTCCGCATCTATTGTGAGGAAACATTATTAAGATTTCAGCAATTTTGCCTTTGCTCTTTTCCTTAATTTCTATCCTGTTGTGGGTTTTTTGACAATACTTCCATGAAAGAAAATGAATGAGTCCATCTGAAGTGATTTGTCGTTTTAATTTTTCTTAATCTATAGAAATTTTGAAACGTAGCAAGAAGAAAAAGGTATGACAGCAACAGTGAAATTTTGAGTAAAATTTGAGGGAAATGTAATTTACTGGGTCAAATTTATCAACTATAGAATGATGCTTGGGTATCACTAGACCAGGGGTTCAAAATAAATGAATAAAACAACAGAGACATTTCTACTGAAATATGTGACTCGATCATAATAATGTACATAAAATTAAGGGACCACATATCTGTGCCTATAAAAATTAACTTAGACGATAGTTTTAATGGATTTTTGAAAACAACATGATTCTTTGGATTAAATACTTGACCTAGTCCCTGGACATTCTGGTGATAAACCAAAATCTATGTGATCTTTTCAGAATCAATTTTTCACCTGGAATACTAAGGATTCCTTACTGTCATAGGGAATGACAATAGTATATTTACCATAAGATGTTCCTATTTAACATTTCCATAGTACAAACTCTGCCTCTTCCACTTCTTCAGGTCTTTATAGAGCTGTATGGCAGAACAGCCTCAGAAGAATAAAGGTAATCTGAATTTCCCACAAAACATAATTCTGAATAGATCACAATATACATCCTATATACAGGGTAATTATATCTTATTCCATGTATTATGAATAAACATTTAAAGGTTTTTAAACATATGTTAAATGCAATCCAGTAAGAGAAGAAAATGGCTATTCCTTTGCAGTAGTATAATTCTTTGCATATCTACTAGGAAGTAAATCCCATTTGATTCAATACTCATTTTGCCCAGGTAAAAAGATATATAATTGCAACATGTATTCAATGCATATGCTACAGTGGCCTAAAAAGAAACAATTTCTGTAGTGCTTTGGGTGAGATCTGACTGTTAGTTTTAGATAACTGAAGAAAAATCTTTTCATAAGAAATCAGACTATACATGAGGATCGTCAAAAATTTCTGCATTTACTAGAAACTCACCCTAGCAGAAAATATATATACACTGGTCAGAATTACAAGGAACTTATTTTGATTATTTAATAAATTAACAATCTGTGCTTTTCCTTTAAAATTATACTTGCCTGCAGTGCACAATTATTGGACAAGAACGACCCCTGTAGCACTTGTTTATTTTTCTGCAATAAAACAAACACAGATGTTGATAAGTATTAATAATTACCTAAGAAAATAATACTTTTCAGGAGCCATAAAAAATCAACAGTCATAAAAACATATATTTATTAAAATAATAGGATAATAGGTGTAATCCTCCAAATATTATCCCTACACAAGAGCCACTGGAATAAGTAAACAAAACACACATATGTTTTATAATGCTTACAGGATTATAATCTAGATTAATTTGCTATCAACCAAATCCTTTGTTCTATTTTCACTGCTATTAGAATTATAATAGGGCTTGCTTAGATTTGGTTAGCATAATGTATGAACTCAATCACTGTGGATTCTAAACTATATGTGAGTTTTAATATTATGTGTGAAACCAGGCTTATTCAACAATAAAACAAATTTTAGCATAGCATGATGTGTGGTGCCATATATATGTTAATCCTGAAGCCAGCACACAGAATCACAATTTCCTCACAACCCTAAAATATTGTGCTATTCCAAAATGTTCCTTGTCTGTATTGTACATCCTCTTGAATTGTTGAACCAAAGACAGTGTGTTCTTACACAGCAATAAAAAAAAACAATAAAAGGGTGCTTTCCTGTATTTCTTATATTGGCAATACAAATGGCAACAAATCTCTTTGGTTGAAATGTGTATTAAAGGCTCCCTTTTCAGCTCTGAGACAGTGTTAGCAGAGTTCTGTTTCAAAAGCTAATATAGTCTCATTGAGACAACTTTTGCTTTGAAAGATGATACGTACATTCTTAAATAAATCAATGTTTAAAAGCCAATGTCAGAGGAATGTACTTCTTAATTCATAGAGCAGTAAATGAGAACCCCCCCCCTAATTTTACATACTAACTGCTGGATTTATATAGTTCACTTTATTTTCTGATGCTTTCACATATGCAAACAAACAAGTATATTCAGAGACATGAATAATATTTTAAACACCTGGAAATAGAATTTCAGTGTGAACACACACACAATTTTCCAGGCTTAATTCAAAATGTTGATTTTAACCATCAAATCCCTAAATGGCTTAGATATTTCATGATTCTTCCCTTGTAGGCATATGTATAAACTTACACATGCACACATATATGGCTAGCAACTAGTACCAGATTTCTTTTCATAGAAATCTTTCATGTACACAATAAATATATATTTCCCTGTTTCCCTAATTTGAGGAATAACTGCCTCTGAGTAAAAAAAAAAAAGGGGGGGATTAATAAATTCACATCATTTATTCCAATTCATGAATGAAGAATCATTAGCCTGAAAAGATCAGGGAAGAATCAACTCAAACCAACATTAAAATTCTAAATATTTATAAGTTTACTTTACATAAAAAAATACCAAATCAATAATTTTTCTACTAATTTAAGTATCTTCAGTTAAAGACAGGCAAACCAAAGGGAGAAGCAGCTGCATTTTGCTGAGTATGAGGAAGAAGAATGCCTTAGGAAAGATCAGGGCTTGGTGTCTAAAATTCGTTGTTGATGAAAATGAGGAGCATAGGGTTAGAGTTAGGTATCAGAATGGAGTAGAAATAAAGCTACGTATAAGTTGTGTAGAACTATCTAGGAAACCAATTTAGTGCCAAATTGGAGATATTCTGTAACACTGTTAGTAGACAGCAAGGCAACAGTAACTGATGCTGGACTTAATGACAAATATAAGGTTTCAGACAAAGGCTACAGAGAACTTAATCATTCCAGGGCTGGGTTCAGGATGTGTCAGAACAAAGAAAACAGGTTTCCTGTAAACTGATATCTAGGTGAACGTTAGATTTGGTGGTCCTAACTACAGACAGACTACTGCTCATATGAAGGGAAGTTTTTAAATAATGCCAATCAGATAGGCATTTGTTAGATATTTATATCAGTCTGGGAATTTTTCTATAAACTAATTTGTGGAGATATGAAGGCACCTCTCAATTCCTTCAATTCCACCAATTTAATCCCAAATTAGGATTTTTTTTCCCAGAAAAAAAAAATTGGAAACACTGAGACAAGACTTTGGGTTAGAATACATGACCCTACAAATCCAAAATTCACTGTAAGAAAACGTTTTTATATTAACTCAGAAATACAGTAGCTACATGATTCCTTCTCCCTGTTTTGTTTTGTTTTCTATTTAGGCCACAAAAAGACCAAACATTTAAGATTAATAGAAGGGAAATAATAACAAACAAGATCACTTAAGCTCCATTAATTTTAACAGATGTATTCTAAGCGTAACTAAACGTAGATCCAATATGTGTACAAATGTCAATTCTGTGTACCTGAAAAGCAGGAATGGTTGATTTTATGAAAATACACATATACATATACATATATATCCATACACATAGACACACACACTACAGTGTTGTTATTGAGCAAATTACTATCTCATCTATACATTCCTCTCCTACAAAGCAGGAAGAGTTGCTGACTCCTATATAAAGTTTCTGTAAACATATACTGTACATTACATTTTTAAGAAATAGAGTTTATATGAAAAATATTATTTAGAAGAACAAATCCAACTGTAGACATTTATTGATTTAATATGCTGCTTTTTAAAGCACAGTCATCATAAGACCTTCTCCAATCACAGTAGTATAAGAGATCATGAAGAGCAGCTTCTCTAAGCATGGTATTATAAAATAAATTCTTAAATTAGACCACGTTTTAAATAATGTTACTTGAAACTTAAAAAAAACCTCATTGTTGTGCAAAATGCATTTGGATGCTTACTACTGATAACATCCTGACACCATTCCTCTGCACTAGATAATATGCTCTGGGAATTTTTAGACTCTCATACTAAGATTAAGCCAATTTTGGCTTAAAACAAAGAACTGTAAAATAAGTTCCTTCAGTGAAACATCGAATGTTTCCGACACAGTCATTCTCTATTCCACATTAAAAAATTCCAGATTCAGTTTGTAATATTGCAAGAGGAAAAGTTATTCAAATGAGGAAAAAAGATGTAATTAAAAAGGGCATGACGAGAAACTTGTGCATTTGGTGTTTTCTGTCTCGCATGTTTATACCAACATTTTATGACTAAATGCTAAACCAAAATACATGTTTACAAACTGACTTCTGGCCATAAGTTTGGAAAAAATTAAATACAGGATTAGATGATAGTTACCTCCAAAAAGAAAAAAAATGGGACTTTGGCGTACCTCCTTGTAAAGTAGAAGCAGAGAGAAATCTTTAGGTGAGCTCCAGCAGGAAAACCAGGCAGTGGGAAACCTGCACCGAAGGCAGTTGCTCACAGCCAGTGACATTACCTACCCAATCCTCAGAAGCACGTGCCTGTTGCCTAGCAAGCATCCTCATTTTTGCTGTCTTTACAATTTTCAGTATTTCTTATAAGCCTCCCAGCATTTCTTCCAAATGACCAATGGGGGAGTACAAAATTGGCCCCTAGCCGATGTTCTACTCTTCTGTCCTAGCCTCACCATGTTTCCACAGCAAGGAAAAAAAAACTCCCTTCTTCATTCAAGAAGCCTAGTAACATGATGGCAAGGAATCATACCTGAACTTCAGCAGGGAGGGGAAAAGTCAAAGGGCTTGGAGAAGGCGAGAATTCCCACCAATGGAATATTTCCTGCCCTGCAGCTCCAGCATTTTGTTCTGTAAAACTGTCTTTGCAGTGCTAAAAGCAAAGTGGAGCTGAGTCAAAAGTTAATCAGCTCAGCTGCAGAAGATAACTGTGCAGAATGGGCTTCAGCCAGACAGGTGGAAAGGGCCTAAGGCTTATCGTGTAAAAGTGTTTCATCTAATGGAATAATGCAAGTGAGTAAATAACTGAATTGCATGCTAAAGAGCAGTTTGAATCTAACACTAAATACAAACTGAAATGAGATCTATTAGCAGGCAAAGATGTAAACCATCTAAATTTTCTACTATTTAAAAAAGTTTTATACATATATGATCTCTAGTCAATGCTTTCACTGTTATCTTTAGGATTAAAGAACGTGGCCTTTGTTTTACAAACAGGGCACCAGAACAAAAGGCTTCATTCTCCAATTGGCAATTCATTTATACTTGCTATCCTCGGCACACAATGAAAGTCAGCTGACTGTTTCAGTGATACTTCAATTTTGTGTTGAATACATAATGTGTGTGTGGAAATGCATATCTCCAAGTAGAAATGAATGCAACAACCCTCTGGTGTTTCTACCTCACCCTCAAATGTTTTGAGATTACATATCTCCTTTCTACTTTATAGCAGCAAACAAAGTAAAGCGTTGATCAACTCAGACTTAAATAGCCTTACTTCTGAAGATAGCTTGAGGCATTAATAATTTTTTCACATTTATATTCCCCATAATTCAGCTTATCCATTAAAATTCTGTTTGGCTCCTTAAGTTGCCAAAACACTGGCTATATGTATCTTAGTTTTAAAATTATAATGACATCTTTTCAAATATCTGAATCATGACATATATCAAAAAGCACATGAAAATAATGGCTTCAAATGAATTTCACTGATTGGAACATTTTGATACGTACACAGCAGTGTCATTTCATTCAAATTTAGTTATTCCAGATCCCAATAAAATGTATAAGTAAAGCTCTGAATATTTAGTATTATTTTAATAAAAGATATACATACATACACAAAGAGAGAGGAAGAATTGACTAGGAAAGAATGATTAGTAATACAAACCAACCCTTGGTTCATTGAGTGAAAAGAAATCACCATGCAAACCATCAGCAAGCAAAGGTCAAAGGTCGTTAGAGGCTCAGAAAAGGGGTTTCCCATAATGTCCCTGCAGCAGAGTCACAGTTTCCAATGATCACTTTTGTGACTATGCAACTGGGCTTATATTACTAGCTGCAACATCACAAAAATGACACTGGCAACTGCTAATTAGCTGGCAAAATAAGAATTTGACCATTTTTAAAGTGAGCAGTGTTAGTAAATGCCATTGCACACAGAGCAAGCAGTGATAGCATAATATATATTTTAAGCAAAGCCCTCATGTGTGATGCTAATTATCTTTTAGCTTAGCAGTGTCTCTTTAAAGTGTAAATGTGCTCCCTCTGGGCTCAAGAAATATTTAATTACATACTATCAGTGCATGACTAACAAGCTGGTCCAGAGTTAAAATGGTTAGTCTATTGTTCAAAATGAAATTAGGATTCTGCAACCATTAAAACTGACCAGTATTTTGAGAAGGAGCAGCTTCACCTTTCAAACACTGCATTCTGCCTGGATATTTTAAGCTTACTGAAGGAAGAAAAATCTTCCTTTATTCATCAGTTAATACCTGAGCGCACAATATTTCAAATAGTGAAGAGCTTTTAATCCCCTAGCTTTAATTCACCTATTCAACATAGTATCACCTACTCAACACAATACTCTCTAACAAGTAGGAACAAAAGAAGCACAAAGTAGTTGTTTTCACAGTCCAACAGAATCTGCTTAATTAAAAATAATAATAATAATAATAATAAAAAAAACAAATACATACTTCAGAAGACTGAGGCAAATTTTGGAAATCCAATTTTTCTTAGTGATGAGTTATGGTACTAGAAAGTTGTCTGTGCATATTAAGTATCTGTATATACATACAAATACATTATACTTTAATATAAACAGGTTGGAGGCAAATCACATCAAAAATAGGGGGGCTGCATTTTGTAAGATTAATTTAAGAATCTGTAGTTCTGTTGTAATGCATTAATTTTTCCAAAACTGTGGAATAATAACATATTACTATAAAACCAATTCTATTAATGGAAAGAAAATTAAGATTGACAAGAAATTAAGGTTAATTAATATTAATATCCCTTTAAAAATTGCTTTTGGCACATGAAGCATTATTTTATCTTTTTTCTCCTTTATAAGATAATAGATCTATCATTTAAAAACAAAACAGAACTCATCCCAAAATACTTGTGGATAATTTGTAATGAAAATAAAAATAAATCAATCTTGCTGAAAGAATACACTTGGTTGTCTGATAAGATGCATATCCATAAAAATTTTAATAGTTTACATTTGTGTTTTGTTTTCTTTTAAATCCAGATGGATTTCTTCCAGCCACTAATGCAGGCTTTTATTTCCATTAGAATTTCATTACGAATACAAGAACCTTGAATAAGGCTTGTGGATTTTACCCTTGGAGACTGCAGTAAGAAGCAATTCTAGCCATATATATTAGGGCTAATATTTTGCTTATAGACAATAGATACAGACAACTGAACTCAGTTAAGCAAAGGTCTGTTGACAGGAAAATGGATACATGGAAAACAGCAATAGAAGACAACTGCTGTAATGCAAGAAATGTATAACGCAAAGACTGTGAATTGAATCCAGATTAACAATCAAGTTTAGGCACTATTTAGAACAGTTTGAAAAGCTTCTTAAGACTTTGACTGATTGGGCCATCAAGTCAATGGTGACTCTTAGCCACCACATAGACCTTCTTTGGGATGATCTTAAGACTTTGCTCATTGATTTAAATAAGAAATAAGTAAATTAACATAGTTTGGAGTCAGTACTATGTCTTTGTATACATATAGTCTTTATCCATAACAGAAAAGCATAATATAAAATCCTTTCTGAGGGACATTTATAAGCCATATTGATTTTATTAATTGCTATGCATTTTGATGTACATCATAATAAAGTTTGCAAAGTGCTAATTCAATGTGTGATATATACACTTATTTTAATGCTAACGTTATTTGGAAGAACTTTAATATAATGTACTGAAACTTGCACATTTTAATATAAAGTACTGAAATTTGCACATTTCAATGAACCACTATGGGATTTTTAATGAATTTGGCTAGATAACATTTCAGTGTATCATAAAATTGATTCCTAGTGTAAGGAGAGGGCTTAGGGACAGACAAGAGGTTCAGAAACTACTTAAATTGTTCAGATATAAAGAAATACTAATCCATTGTCCAAGCCTATTTTCTCAATCACTTTAAAATAAATAAAAAAGAGTTTAAATAAATGTCAATAAAATAACCAACAGAACATGGGTAGGAAAACACTTTAAATGATTAAAAAACCCTCTTTATATGTGGGAGCAGGTAATCAATGTCCCATTCCTCAGAAAAGCCACAATCAATGATGTATCTCTGCCTTACTAGGAGCTTGGCACCCAGCTTATTGCACACCAAGAGCTTTGAACCTAACTTGGGGGCTGGTAAAGAGGCTAAATTGAGTGGACTAGTACAGGAATCACCTGTGTATGGCTTTTTTCCAATCTATGGAAATTCAGCCTGGAAATATAAAACTCTGGGTGATGCTTAAATATTCATCTGTCATTCTGCTTCAAAATAAAAACTTGTGCACCTCCATTAGACCCCAGCCCATCTTAGCTGTGCTTTGGTTATTCTAAATAAAAGTAAGTGTGTTACCGCCAAGAGTGCTGAATGCCTAGAAAATAGGACAAGAAGACATTGCCATAGGAAAAGTGAGATTCATCTCAAGGCAAACACATACAGTAACTTCAATGTATATCTGGCATGATATTCATAAACATCTCTACCTAATTATGCTTGTTGTACATGCCTGTTTAATGAAAAGAAACACCTTGTGCTTACATGGAATCGTTAGCTTAGTTTTCTTCCAAGTGCATTAATTATGATGTTAAAAACATAATAGGCAATTTAATTACTTATATTGACAATGCTGGCCATTTGCATGATTATGTCTACAGCACTTGTAACTGTACTGCTATCAGCTTTTAGAAGCAGTTAACATTCAAAATATGACTGGTCTTAGGACTGTGATATTAAATGGATCATTCTCTGTGCAACATTTTACAATGTGAAACACTAGGAAATAGGATATTTTGGTATGGGAGAGAGACCAAAATATTAAAATTCTCTAATCATAATAAATTTGTAATCTATGTGACAATCCATGACAGACCTGCATCTGCCTCATCATCTAGCACACACTGCTTAAGTTCTTTTCAGGCAGTACATTATCCTTATAGCCATTCTTCACTTTGGGAATTAAACCAATAATTATTTCTACTGTACCTGCGAAAATCCAGAAGGGATCTTGTGGATGCAGGAACTTGCTGATCGTGCCAGGTAAGGTAATGGAATTGGGTTACAGTCCGAGTTTCATTGCTTTGAAGGTTTTTCAAATAAAAACTTCTTACAAGGAAATCTTCACACCAAATGTGCTCAGAGACCAGATTTACCTATTGTAACATGAAAAGTACAAACTGAGTCAACAGTAGAATATAACTAAAAACTTAAGATTTTACGTGAACTGAATTGGGGCATTACTGAGAATATGTTTCATTTCAAAAGGCAGTGGATTGTGTCAAGGATTTTGTGGGGGTTAAAATAAAAAAATATATTTGATTATTTGCTCTGATGAAAAGAATATATATTTTGCTAAATATACTTAGTATATATTTTACATGATGGTTGCTGCAGATGTTAAATAGTGGGCATGTAAGAATTACCTCTTCCCACTTTACTGCCAATATATATAGCACCAGAATCTTTCCTACAAATTATGAATCCAGTTGTTTTAAATTGAAAATGTATTCAATGTTGGAGAGAATCTTGGGCTTGCAAATGGAAACCTGGATTTATTTCCTATTTAATTCATTAAGCAGCTTAGGAAAACTACTTTCTCTTAATTTCTTCTATCCCATCTGGGATAAATAATATTAAAATGTTAAAAGAGATGTTAAATATAATATTTTAGTTGACATCCACAAATGAATTAACTAGACTGTTCTGACTTAAATCAAATGTAAAACTGTATGACAGACTTTTTAAAATGAGACACATGGATGTATCATTTTGGTTCTGGAGAAGTAATAAGGCCCAAGTTATTTGCTGAATAGCCTGTTACACCTATTAAAAAGAGTTTTTATTCCAACCACAAATATTTGTGCTGGAGTAATGCTCAATGGTAAGACAAATATTTGTATATGTAAGAGAGCCTAGCTCTCCAAACATCTTGAAGCTTTAAAAAATTGCTATCAATTTTTGTATTAGGAATGTGTAAACTGTGATTCTAAGTTTGCCTATGGTTCATTCCATTATTTACTCTAATAATGGAATGAACCAGTAGTAAAACTTAGCATCACAGTTTATACATTCCTAATACAAAGCTTCATATGTCCTTGCAAAAATAAATATTACTGTTTTGCAAATACTACTGAGGCACTATTGTGGATTATACCATATACAAAAAAGGTTAAGGAGATGTTAGGCTCTGTTGTATGTTGTAATACAGTATCTAAAATTGGCTACAGTACAGGTAGTCCTCGGTTAACAACAGTAATTGGGACTGGAATTTTCATCGCTAAGCAATGCGGTTGTAAAGTGTGATGTCATGTGACCATATTGCTTAGTGATGGCAATCCTGGCAGTCCCCACTGCCGTTGTTAAGTGAGGTTCGCAGGTTGTTAAACAAGGACTTCCTTGAACTTCCTGCTGGCATAAGTGCACCCCAGTTGCCAAGTGCCCAGATCGCAATCACATGACCATGGGGGTGCTGGGATGGCTGGAATGTTGATCAGTTGTAAGTACCACTCATTCAGCACTGTTGTAACTTTAAATGGTCACTGAATGAGTGGTTATTAACAGAGGACTATCTGTAAGGGAATCTTCCTCAATGAAGTCAGTAAGTCAGTCTATTGTAATGACACATTTTTATTTCTTAATCCTGCTTAACACTGGCAAAATATAAGGCCTTGATGTAGAATTCTTTCTACACATCTAAAATTTGATATGTGGAAGAAGCAAAAAAGATATAGACTACCTTCCTCATCTAGTAAATAGATAAAGCTGAGAGGGACAGAAGAGTTGCCTAAACTGTAAACTGAAGCTCACTGAAAACCTTGTACAAGTATAAATAGAAATAGATATGTACTACCAATTCTAGATAAATTCCTGTTTTCCCCCCCTAATTGACATTTCAGCAATGTAAGACACAGCAATGGCTTTGCTTCTTCCCCATGTGCAAAGATTATGCTAGCTGGGGCAAAGTGGGGTAAGAGGAAATACTGTCATGTTCAATAGCTAGGGCAATTTGACTTATGTATGTGAAATTGCTAGAATTTGTCCATTATTTATCTAGCATTCTTTGCAACATAATCAAACAAAATAAGAACTAACATTCTGTAGTATATTGTATACAGTAGTAATAATTTGCTGTACAGGGAACAAAATCTGCAGCCTTCTTTGCTGGCTAGGGATGATGTTGGTTATAGACCAACACACTTGGTGATTATGAAGTTGTAAAGTGCTGCATATTCCTTTAGAATTTATACTCATCACAGTCTAGCGACAAAACTAGACAGCATGTTTAGCTCATGTAGCATGGTTATGAGTCCTGGTAGCAAAAATCTGCTCCAACTTGCTTTGCAAAGGATGTTGCTGTAACTACATCAAAGCAATCTCCTCTTTGGGGCATCACAGTTGTGTGTGTGTGTGTGTGTGTGTAGATTTGACTTTGGGAAAAAAAAGTAAAATAAAAATTAGTTTAATTACCAAAAGAATAAGTAGAGATTTTGATATAAATTGTGGAATCTACTGTAGCTGTTAAATATTTGTAAGTACAATGCTATTAT